GGGTGGGCGGGGCTGTGAAAGACAGGGGTAAATTGACTCGACCTACCTACTGACTGATCCAGATAAGATAAAGATACCAAAGCATACGAGATGAGTCGAATATAATAAAGGAATTGGGTATGTGAGACATTTCCATTCGGAATAAATCGTGATCGGAGCTCAACAAAGGATCACCTTGGTCTGCTTAATATTTAATATGACTTAGCACGAAATAGAGCATTGTGGTACCCCAAATCGGTCAGTCACGACTCCAAAGACTCAGACACCAGAGATAGTTCCTTACCGCCAAGATAGCAGTTTTCTGAGCTACCAGCAATAATGTTTCTACATGCTCCCCTCACTAGAAGGCCTACGCCCACTTGACTGCTAACACACAATTCCCCTTCTTGGCCGAACGACACAAGGCATGTATTGAGGCTTCGCGCAGCCAGATAAAGGTGGTACAGGTGGTACAGACATGCCACTGTTGCTGGGTAGTAATAAGAAGTAGTCTTTGGAGGAATGACGAGAAAAACAAAATACCTCAAAACAAAACAAAAACCAAAAAATCTTCGACCTTTCCCAGGAATTGAAAGAGACAATAATAACTTTGAAGAGACTTTTTAAGTAGGAGTGGATCGTGCACGACGTTAAGTGCTAACCAGCCCACATTCCACCCAATCAGTGACAATTTCGCACTATTATAGAACGTGACACCCACGGCAGACGGACACGCCTGGCTTCCTGTCTCGATCACGCTACAAACACACAATGCTTCTGAGGACGTCACGCTAATGGAAATACACGCCACATTTCCACAATCAGATTAAAGGATGCAGGCACAAATGAATGGAAAAAAAGAACAGCCAGGCAGACAAACAAGTAGAACAGGCAAGTAGACACAACTAGAAGAGGCAGAAACTGGGCAGGTCGGTACGTTAACAGCCAGACTTTGGGCAGGAAGGGAAGAATACAGTGTCCTCGAAAAAATAAAAATAAATAAAGAATCGAACTCGGGACTCCAGTGGGCAACTAATAAGCGCCTAACCGCCATCCCATAGACGCTAGTGCTTCTATGAATATAGATTCTTATAAAATAAAAAATAAAAATATAACCCGAGCGAGTAGACGACAAAATAGCTCCCATAAATGAACAGATAAGACACGACAGCCTGAAGACCACACAAGTGTCCCTTTATTTGAGCGTTGATAAAAAGCACACCCGAGAACCCACCAATCACAATCTGTGATGCGGTGCACACGACATCACGTACAAAAACGTATTGACAATCTGGATTCGTGAATGTGCCCCCCCCCCTTTTTTTTTCCCCCCCACATTTTACTTCAAAAACACGAAACCCTACACGACTGATTAAAAATAACATTCGTGTCTTTTGGAGAGGAAAAAAAAGAGGTGGAAAAAAAAGGAAATCTTAACCCTGGACGACGTGTAAGAAAACAGAAAGTCGACCAACCACTGACACTCAAAGATATTGAGGGTTTGAGCCGCACACGAGGTGAACAAGCAAGTCAACCGGATGTACACATGATATGCTCCGTGGTGCGTGGCCAGCGCAGTGAAACGAAGCAAGACAAGAAAGAAAGTCGTGACCTGTCCGTAATCCGCAAGTCCGGAACCATGGCCAAAGAAATAGTGAACACTTGTCTCCAAGAAAGGCAGGCGGGCGAAATAGCGCCCTATTTCTAGTTCTTGAAACGAACGCAGCGCGCGAACATTGGAGTCCATCCAGTCAGCTTAAAAAAATAGCTCCTCTATGACTATTACCCCAAGCCGGATCTTTGCTAACATAACTATAGGTACTATATTATGTGGATACTACAGTTACAAGAAAATTAATTGAGTCAGGGAGCGGACCACGTTTGTGTGAGTGTGTGTGTGTGTGTGTGTGTGTGTGTGTG